GGAGTCGTTGTTGATGGGCGCCTTCGCGTCGGCCGAGAGTAGCGGCAGACCGACAATGCCGACGCTCTGCTTCCCTTCTTCCATCAGGCAGACGTTGATGGCGTAGAGCTCACCCCGCACAAAGGTCTTTGTTCCATCGATGGGGTCAAACACCCAGAAGCGGCCAGTAGGTGATGGGTCGCTAAGGCCGCACCAGTCAATCATGTCGCACATCTCCTCTGGTGACGTAGGCAGCTTGCATAATGAGTCGGCGGTCTTGTCGTTCTCGACCTGCTGCAACAGCGCCCATACAGACTCGAGGAGCTTGGGATTCTCGCGGAGGTCAGCGGCGGACTCCTCGCCGACAAATTTATCGTTGGGAAAGGCGGCGTGCAGTGTGCTCGTCAGTAGGGCCTGGATGGCGAAGTCGGCAACGGTGACTGGGCTGAGGTCCTCTTTTGTCACGACGCCCTTGTCATCTTTGACGAGAACACGGCGGCTAAGCTTGGCGCCGTGTTGTATGGCGGCAATGGCAGTTGCCAATTCTCGAGCATATGGTCCGTCCATTTTGGTTGCTGGGTGATGCCGTCTATCGGGGAGAACGGTGAGATGAGGTGGTGGTGTTGAGAGTAGTGTAGACGATAGGTGGGGTGAATTTGACAGCGCTGATCAGTGTTCGTGCAGAGCGGGTTCGGTGAGTACCAGTTGATGAGTCAGGCGATTGATGTGGATGCGATGTGAATGTAGATGCAGATGCGGATGCGGATATTACCTCACGCAGGTGTTCTGTTCGCAACCGGGGAGATGACTGGTGGTAGTGGTAAGCTACGAATGCCGCCGCGTGAATGTGGTTGAATGCAGTTTCTTGAATGCCGCCGATGATGTCAGACCACAAGTCTAGGCATGGTAGGCGCGCTTTTCCCAAGCGCCTTCCCGTTGCAAATTTTGCCGGAAGAACTCCGGTGACGTGGGACCTGGAAGGAGTGGCCCCGGCATCGGCGTCGGCAGCCCCGATTCGAAAAGCGGGTCTGTTTCCGCTATCCAGAGCTTCGGATCCGATCTAAAATGGAGTTGCAACGACATTCAGTGCGAAAAGAGCTTACAAATGGGAAGTTGGGGGGTATCACAAGGTCTTGGCTGCCGATAGATAGAAGGTATAAGGTACAAAGTTGAAGAGCCACGCCCTGAGTTCACCCTTTGGCCCCAAGTCTCATTTTGGCAGATCCCATGTGCAGGTTTGCATGATGTATTTCCCTAGTAGAGGTCTAGTAAGCAATTCCGCCATTCAAATCGCATAGAGGCGAAATCAGGTACTTACTGTCTTTCCAGGTACGTTTCTTATGGAACAATACAGCTCGCAAATACCAAAGCCTGGTACACCACACGGCCGCCAGAGCATCACGCATCGCCCGGTCCAGGGAGACCAGAATGTTGAGACTGTACATGCCGCTCTTGGACTCCTCAACTGCCAATCTTGTTCCATTACCGTCGAGCCAGTCGAAAACTTGGTTGTTGCGGCGAACGTCGAACAGTAGCTCTCGCGCCTCGTAATACTCGGTCCTGTCACTCGCCTTCCGCCGGCCCACCAGCCAGGCCTTGCATTCGCTCTTGCCAATCTTCAAAAACTTGAGCCCGATGCTACCCAAACCACTCCGAGATGTTGGTTTGATGTAGTACGGGAAGGTCTCCTGGAGAATGGCAGGAGGGCGCTCCAGATTGAAGATGTGCCTCGAGTTGGAGACAATTTCGGGCAGACGATTCGACTCATCAGGCCTTTTCTTGATACTGTAGTCGATGCGGCTGAACTCCACAAGTCTATCGGTTTCTCGTAAGAAGTCTATTTGGTGGTTGATCTCGAAAATTCCCGGCGCATCCGCATTCCGAGTGTTGGCGGAATGGACAAATCGGCCAGCCAGCCGGAGTGTATCTGGCGGCAAATTCTCTGAGACTGTACCAGCATCCACCGCATAGTCTGGCGGAAGATCGGGGTTGGTGTCGACTTGTGCCATCTCGTCTTTCAATCTCTTCTTCGCTAGATCAACAGCCAATGACGACTATCTGAGGTGGTTGAGCAACGGCTTCGAGAAACAGTTGCGCAGATCAAACTATTGTAGGAGGAGTGGCGCCTTGGACATGGTACTGATTGAATGGATTGCAGTGAAATGAGAGCCTGGCGGTTGAGCGTGGTGACATGTTTATGATGGATGAGGTCATGTGCAACATCGAATGAGCCGTGACAGGCCCGAACGGCAAGCGTCGCCCGAGCATGCTCCCGCAAATGCGACAGACAGTTAATTGGCTCTTCTTGTTTGGCTGCCTAAGTAAGCGGGCGATAAAGAAACGTTGAAGCGCTACAACGTTCGGGAATGCGGCAAATGTGATTGGGTTGTGTGCTCTGTCAGCAACTCGCCCGAACCTGAAAGTGCGGCATAATGTCGGAAATGCCTCAACGTAGTGGTCAGCTGCGTCTAGTTTTGCCCGGCTTGTATGGTTAATCGTCGAAAAACGGATTCGTTAATGCGGGTGGCCTCAGAATCGACTGTACGACTCAATCAAGAACTTAAAATCATGTACAAAACATATGAACGCACTCAATTTGCGCTATTTTCAACCGCTCCCAACTTGCTCAAGGTCCAAGTGGTGATTGTATACCATCCTATCTTGTTCCATTCACCACCTTACCAACGCGCCTTCGCCTCGATCTAGTTCCATGACAAATCGTGCTGCAGACATTCAAGCTGCACTGAAATGAATCCGCGAGCGAGTTACGCGTGTGTAGTCGACGGTTGCATTGGTCGAAGTTGGTCGAAGATGACCCTTTTATCGGAGGGACGAAATGTGACGATGTTCAGAAAGACAGCTCATAGAATATTGCAAAAGTCGCTCTCACGATAATGACCAACCGGCGAGAGCTCAGGGGAACAGGCGTGTTTGTCTACTCTGTCTTCAAGGCTACTTGCCGAAGCACACGTAGGTGCGAGTCTACACGCTGTACCTATTGTTTGCCTAGTACAGGTCCGTGGGATGGAAATCCAGTCCCTTAGCACGATGAAGGTTTCTTAACCATACTTCTCAGCCTCATGTATGGTGTGGGCGCCGTCAAAGATAAGGCTGAGCCTGTGCTACTGCCAGGCGGGAAGGTTACAGCCCAAAGCCCCTGCTTGCATACCCGTCCGTGCCGTTCCCATGAACTGGATAAGGTATTGTGCTGCTAGCAGGCTCGAGGAGTAGCTTCGGGGACTGTTGCTGGTCCCGCATCTGTCAGATGCAAAGAAATGCAAGGGTAGTTGACATCTGCGGCAACTTGGAAAGGAAGTCGCTGTCGTAGATCATACTTTGTCCGGATAGCGACGTTCGGCGAATTGTTGCAGGCTGCTATCTCCACCCTAGGCGTAGGCTCTTGTCCTTGTTTGACGTCTCTTCGGAGTATTTTGACCTGATTCAGCCTCGTGGTAAAGTTAACAGGCCGTTTGTGCTCTTTTGACTTAACCCGAGAGAGATAATAATAGATCTCAATATCTTATCTAGAGGGTTGTTGCAGATCGTCTATCGGTAGGTGGACATGTAAACTGCAAACTCATGAGGAGTGAAGCGAGCAAAGACAGGACTATTTCACAACATCTACACGAAGAGCTCGGGGTTGGATCAATCCGACTGTCAAATCTCACCGACATGGCAGTCGCTGCTTGTCTATGGCGAAAATTTGAGGGAAAGAACTCATCGGACTACTTCAAGATGCGGTTAGGCGAATTCGGGTGTAGATGGCAATCCATGCCCATGTTTTGATTCATACAAACACGTGCATAGCCAGCCACGACATCGGTATATTGTTGTCAAGGATAAGAAGCAGTTGCGATATTTAATTAGAGATTCGTACTAGGGACAGGCTCACTGGTTCGACATGGATGATGGGTAAAGCGTAGGAGGTAGCCTATTGGACACTGAGTACAACAAACAAGAAAAAGTCAATCCTTTAATTAACCCGAGAGTTTCTCTCGCACAGTGCTCACCATGGCGAATTCATCGCCTGATCTGAGGAGCTAGAGGCGAAAACTCTGCGGAACCTTGAATTCAATCATGGCAGGACAATCCGACAGCCCAGGTTGGCATTAGATAATTGGGCAATGCATCGAAGTGTACCGGCGCAATCGATGTCTGTAGCCGAAGCCAGCCGGCCCGCGGACTCCTCGCTACTGGACAATTGCGACAAAATCGCTCCTTTGAGAATGAGTCGAGTCTCTTTACGGGAATAAGTCGTCTGACACCAAGGCAAGACACCACGCCTCATGCATGGATCTTTTCTTCGACGGGCCCGAGTCCGCGCACAATTATTCGTCGCCTGCAGCGCGTATCCTACGTCATCGAGCGAGGGAAAAAGCCTTGCTGCGGGTTCACAAAGCTGCAAAAGGACCAGTAACGCGCCAAGACACACAGAAACGGGTCAAGCGGCAGGCATTCGAGTAACGGCAAAGTGGATCCTTTTCGGTCCCGCAGGGGTGGGGCCGTACGGTATTGAGAGGGTCCACTTCGATCCACTCTACGGTTCCGTTCCAATCAAGCCGTCGGTAGCCTCCACGCCGTAGGACTCGGCGTCCTGCGCGTCGTGCCATTCTCCACTCCTCCTCAAGGTAAGACGAGGCCTTGGCAAATGGGAGCCCGTCTCTCATAGTTCTTCACCCTTGCGCCCGCCGTCGTTTGGCTTGGGGGTGCCACGGTGCCTCGCGGCTTTACTTGGGTCTGCTTTCTCAGAATCCCTACAAAACTCAATGAGAACGCCGAGAGCGCACGCGCGCGCCCAGCACCACCTGCCCTATCCTATCGGCCAGACATTGCGGCTCAAACACCACAAGTCCTTATCAGCGCGCTTGATGATCGACCCCTTCGACGTCGACCCTGAAAGATGAGCTTCTTTCAACGACGGCTCATCGACCATTGCGAGTGACATGTGCTCTCTCTCACCGGGAACACGCCGCTTCCGGTAGGCCCCTTGACGAAAAGCCCCCCCTCCGCTAACTTGCCGCTCACCGACTCAGCCTGTGGGGTCGCCTCATTTCCCCCCGTTGGAAGAACGAAAAGAAAAGTGTCCACATCCCTTGGTTGGGCATTGACTGGCGGCTGCATATAAAGTGGATAATGGTCGAGTCTTTTGAGACACTCTCGTTGGCTGGTTTTCTTAGCATCTTGCACCATCTTATTGTGCGAAACTGCGAAACTGCGACGGATAGTGATTGGCTGCTTTTTGCGCGTTTAGATGACATAAAGACAAATTTTCGTTATTTCTTTGCTCCCTCACTGGCTCATCGATGCGCTGCGCGAAAAAACTACTGCGACATGGTGTCACGGGATACTCCCAGGATTCATCCCCAGCCTCGCACCATTCTGCCTTGCTGCCTTGGTTTTGAGGGCCAATTTTCCTGCCATGTCATCCCACTGATGATTGCGGCGAGTGGGATTGCAGGAGAAGGAGTCAGGCTTTCTTCCATTGTGTGTCACTGTCGGCATCTCACCGAAACACACAAGAATAAAGGGAGATTGGCCACCTCACTGATAAACACGGCCCGGGCTCTCAGGAGCAGCGACAAGATGACCTTTGGATGAGTCTGTCTGATGCTCATTGGCTCCCTCCCGACAATCATGGTTCAGTGTCCGACACACCAAGTGGTCCCTCGCCAAACTTGCGCCCACCCACAAAGGCACGGACTGCTCCAGCTGGTTCCCATTATTTTTCCCCCAGCAAGTGAACCCTTGTGGCCCTGTGGCCCCTTCAAACAGTGCTGACAAGTGAGATTGGGATGAGCGAACGAGCCAACGACTCTGAGAATCCTGGATGTATCCGTACTCCATGCCTACTGTGTGGTGTCCAGTATAGTATGGGGGATACGTATCTGATAACCCCGCATAGAGTTGCCTGAGATGGCAATGTGTCCCTGCAGATAAAGCTGGAGATTGCGCCTCCCCCATCCTCAATCCTGCGAGGCGAACGCTGTATTCCGATATCTCTGCCACTGTGATATCGATAAGACGCAACTAGGCTGGTAGTTATACGTCTTAGTCAAGGCATACTGATTACAATCCCAGACAACATATCGATGCGGAAGACGGCGACACGGCGACGATTCCCATGTTGGCACGGGCGAGTACTCCGTCGCCGAACCCATAATCTGTAGCCCCCCCCCCCCCTCCCTCAAAGCCAAGCCAAGCCTCCCCCGTCCAATGGACAGATGCATTCAGAAGCGGACGCTAAGACAAGGAATGACGACATTGCGGAAATATTCTGCCTTAGCACCAGCGCCGCGCCGAAGGATTGGGATGGGGTCGACACAAAATCCATGGATGGCATGGGCATGGGGCGCAAACACAGCAACGCCTGCGTGCGAGATCAGGGACGAACCCAGTCAAACTCCACACAGACTTGCAACGTTCCTGGCCCTCTGTATGGATACTTTCCCTCATTGTCCCTGGATTTTCTGATGCAATCTACCTACAGGCTACGCCGAGAGCCCGCGGGTCGGGTTGGCTCAAAGTTCGTACGGGTCTGGTCTGTGGGTTGTTCAGCTGCAGAATGCAGAAAAAGCTTTTGCATTTGGGTGTGTCTACATACCTGGTAGCCCGGCGCGGCGCATTCTTCTTCTCACTCTCTTCGGTACACTGTGTGGCATGTGGCACGTTGCCTTGGGAAGAGAAGAAGTTCGCCCAGGTCGCAAAAGTTTTTCCCTGGTCGATTGACCAAACGAGACGCTGATCGATCTACCTGTCTGCCTGCTGCCACCCTTAAAACTAAACTCTCCCCCATCGAGATTCTCCTCGCGTGCCTCCATTCGAAACGTTTCGTTGCTCTCTCTCTTCCTTCCTTCCTTCTCTCCTCTCTTCGCACGCCCTCCTCTTTGTGCCCACGGTTTCCACTTGGCTTGAGCCGTTTCTTCATTCCTCCACATGCACTCAGTGGTCTCCTCCCTCCGTCTCTCGTCAACATACCTCTACGGGGAAAGAGCCTAGATAGTAAAGCCGTTGCGCTTGAACTAGCTCACTCTTTTCACCATGTCGGGTTCCGAGCAACTCAAGGGCCCGGTTGAGTCCGTCCCCAACGACAGGGTCTCTCTCGACAGCTATGGCTCCTCCGTGCGACACAACTCCGATGGCCTCCAGCGCCGCCTGAACAACCGTCAGATTCAACTGATTGCCATCGGAGGCACAATTGGTACCGGCCTGTTCGTCACCATCGGCGGCGGCCTCGCCAAGGGCGGTCCCGGAAGTCTGCTCATTGCCTACACCCTCTACGCCTGCGTCGTCGCCCTCGTTAACAACTCCATCGCCGAGATGAGCACCTACATGCCCGTGTCTGGTGGCTTTATTCGTCTGGCCGGTGTCTGGGTTGACGACGCTCTCGGCTTTATGGTTGGCTGGAACTACTTCATCTACGAGGCATTGCTTATCCCGTTCGAAATTACCGCGCTTAATCTCGTGTGCTCTTTCTGGAACGAAAAGATTACGGAGCCGGGTCCGACGGCGGGTTTTTGCATCGCCATCATCATCGCGTACGGGTAAGTCATAAACCAATTCGTGGGAACGATTGACTCTTTTTTCTCCTTTCATTTCAGGGACAAGCGACTAGACCGACCGGACTTTCTAGAGCTCGTCGTGTGCCCGCCCGTGACCCTTCTCGTTCTCCTTCTCTCTCTCTCCTCTCGCCTCGGTGGTGCTCGTTGTGTATGCATGCTAAACGTCAATGTGTGATTCTAGTCTACTGAATGTTGTTGCCGTCGGCATCTTTGGTGAAGCTGAATTCTGGCTCTCAGGCGGCAAGGTCCTGCTCATCTTCATCCTCTTCCTCTTCACCTTCATCACGATGGTCGGAGGAAACCCCGCCCACGATGCCTACGGATTCCGATACTGGAAGGAGCCCGGCGCATTCGCGGAATACATGACACAGGGTAATACTGGTCGTATGGAAGGCTTCATGGGTGCTCTGGCCACTGCCACGTTCACCATTGTCGGCCCGGAATACATCTCCATGATCGCCGCCGAGGCGAAGCACCCGAGCTTGTACATCAAGGGCGCCTTTAAGACCGTCTACCTGCGTTTCGGCCTCTTCTTCGTCGGCGCCGCTTTGACCTGCGGTATCGTGCTCCCCTACAACAATCAGACCCTCATCGACATCTACATCACCGGAACCGGCAGCGGTGGCACCGCCGCTGCCTCCCCGTGGGTCATGGCCATGGAGAACCTCAAGATCCAGGGTCTCCCCCACTTGGTCAATGCTCTGCTCTTCACCACCATCTTCTCCGCTGGTAACACCTACGTCTACTGCGCGACCCGGTCCCTGTACAGTTTAGCGCTCGACGGTCGCGCCCCGGCTCTGCTCCGCAAGACTACCAAGAACGGTGTGCCTGTCTACTGCTTCGCCGTCACCATGGTCTTCCCCTTGCTCTCCTTCCTGCAGTGCGGCAGCGGCTCCGCAAAGGTGCTCAACTGGCTGCTGGCCCTCATCACGGGCGGCGGTGTCATCAACTACCTCGTCATGTCCATCACGTACATCAACTTCTACCACGCGTGCAAGGCCCAGGGTCTCGACCGCAAGACGCTGCCCTACTGCGGATACCTCCAGCCCTACGGCGCCTACGTTGCCCTCTTCTTGCAGACCATTGTCATTCTCGTCTACGGATGGTCCGCCTTCCGCCCCAAGTTCGATGTCGGAGGCTTCTTCTCCAACTACACGATGCAGCTTGTCGCGCCTCTCCTGTTCATCTTCTGGAAGGTCCTCAAGCGCACTCACTGGCTCAAGCCCCATGAGGTGGACTTGACGTGGGACCGCCCCATTATCGAGGCCTATGAGCAGCATGCTTTGGTGCACGAGCCTCCTACCACCTTCTGGAGGGAGATGCTCCAGATGATTGGAATTGGTCGCAGTAAGGTGATCAAGGGCGAGAAGGCTTGAACGAGTAATTCTAATGATGATGGTGGATGGCGCGTGATACCCCAGTGTGCTAAAATATACGGTCGTCTACATGTATGCAGCGTAATATAAAAGTTACCATCAGTTCTTGTCCATGTTGTGAACATGTCAATCACCATAAAATTGCGTCGTTGTTTCCAGGCGCTCTCTCGCGATTGCTCAGGGCTGTCAAAGCAGTCATTGATGTCTACGCGTAAGCACGCGCATGGCCTTGTACCTCACTGCCTTGCAGCAAGTGATCGACGCGGCAGATATCCTAAGTAAGTGAGACCGTCAGCGCTAGCACTGAAAGGCACTGACTGAAACACGGCTCATTTTTCTAGGTACTTGAACACTGCCTCAGCTGCTGCGGTCATCCGAAGAGAAATGCCTCCACACAATAACTCCAAGGTAGGAGGGGGAAATGTACCTAGTTGAAATTGGGGTGGGAAGGCTAATTCACACGTTGTTGTAGTTTGCTGCACTTCTGGTTATTTATCAATCTGATTACAACCCAACGTTTTCATGCATTTTCAAGCGCGATGAGCTACAAGGCCTTCATGGCATCCTTAGAAGGAGGTGTGGGGCTTCCCGTCCCATCATCGAATATGGCTGGTTTTCAACTCCGATCTCATCCATGCATTCGATCAATCAGCTCAACACAGAGCCACGGACAGCGATCAGAGAGGTACTCACTTTGGATGAGGATGCCACGCTTCATGCTTCACTCTCAGGTGAACTTAGTGTGGCTTTGAGTGAGCTGGAACGTCCTTACATATCCCAGTATTTGAGCAATTGCACTTCTTGTGTTCAAGAATTCAACTGCTCTCAAAAGTCGTCATTCAGGCTGAGGGGGTGTAAAACAGATTCTCACACGCCTGGCGCGCACATATTTCCGCACTTTGGAGGTGCCTTCTGTTCTTACGCATCATGATTATTGCCATTGGGATAGTTGAGAGCCTCGTAATGATACCTGATATTGGTCCCCGGTTTGTCTGTTTCCAGTCTGGGCCACCTGCACTTTTGCATGATTCGCGGATTATCATGTGCTGGCACAACTGCGGTTGCACTGTGGCTTGCAGGAGCTGAGCTTCCTATGCAGCCACCCCAGAAGTCGCTGACCAGTTGGAATTGGGCCATTTCCCAAAAGGCAGTATGTCAGGCAGAGACTTTGACAGGCCGGTAGGCTACAGCAGGCAGTGGCGAACCGTTTGTCTAATATTGCAATTTTTAAGGAGACATTTTGCCCATCATCTTTAGGCTACCGTTAGTTTCAAATTATTCCTCGTACTTGAACGCTTGGATCATTCACCAGACGATGACAGTTCCGCTTACGCAAGCCTAATCACATGGCTGAGCTGAGTTTATCACCCATGGCTGGAGCAAATGAACAGTCTCATAAGGGATCTTGCACTGAATGCTTGAAACTACCGAGAAAGTTGTTCGAACCAGGCTCGACAATCTCGCATTCATTCTACAGCGGTGACGGGGCCGCTGCGAGAATCCAGCTTTCGGCTCAACAAGGGTGCCATTTCTGTACCTTGATATTCGATGCCCTTGAGGCAGGGCAGAAAGGCGACTCTGAAGTCACAATTGACAAGAACGGAATTTCACTCAGGACCCTATGGACTACCTCATGGCCCGGGTATTGGCAACCTAAGGTAGCGGATTACTCAGTACTCAGACCTGACGAGGAGCACATTACTACTCCCGCCCGTAACAGTTCTCCGGATCAAAGGCCTGGTCCTCTTTTGAAGCTGACCTGGGGTAATTGCGTCACTCATCTCCGCTTCAATATCCACTCTGATGCTAGTTCCAAGAAACCGGGGAAGCACGTAACGAATTGGGACTTGTATAGCCAAACGAAGGACTTTGAGCCAGCCGAGAAGCACTTTTCCCCCTTGGCGGCACAAGCGGACTCCCCCAAGGTGTTTCAGCTTCTGAACTTCTGGCTGGATGAATGCCAGAAAAGGCACCGCGATAAATGTGCGTACGTGGGAGAACTTGTTTTGGAGCACGAATTTGCTTCGCCTACAAGACTGCTGCGCGTCGGCGAGGAAGGCGAGAACATTGTCCTGGTGCTCTCGGCCGGTCTGAAGCGAGATGAAGGCGGCTTCGGGCCCTCTTACACCGCGTTGAGCCACTGCTGGGGAGATCCCAAAAGTGTGCCACAAACGACAAAGGCGAATCTGGAGCAGATGATGCGTGTTGGTCTTCGCTACGATGAGTTATCTCCCACATTCCAGCATGCCGTCAAGATCGCTAGAGAGCTTAATATTGGGTGGCTCTGGATCGATTCTTTGTGTATAGTTCAAGACGACAAGGCCGACAAGGACCGCGAGCTGCCACTGATGGAAATTATCTACTCCATGGCTATCTGCACTCTCGTCGCATCGGACTCGAAAGATGGGAGTGGCGGTTGCTTCCTCCCTCGAGGATCCAACCCGGATATGCACGTACGACCCTGTACAAAGACTTTTAGCGAAGTGAAGACCAAGGTCTCAGTCACCTTCCAGCCCTACATGGCAGACTGGGCCCAGTCGGTGACCAATGGGCCCCTGTTCTCCCGTGGCTGGTGCTTCCAGGAGAGGCAGCTGTCGAAAAGAATCATCTACTTCACCAAGAGTCAAGTACTCTGGGAATGCCGAGCGTCCATCGCATCCGAGGCATACCCTGAGATCAGCAGTTGGTTTACTCGATCAGAACCCCGATTTATGGCTCCGCCCTTCCGCGTAACTTGGGCTCGAATAACCGACAGAACAATGCTATACAATAGCCTCGAGCGGGTTCAGCCGTGGTTAGATGACTGGCTGCGCGTCGTCGAGGCTTATTCTGGCAAATCTCTCAGCAAACCGGAAGATCGACTTCCCGCGATTGCCGGTGTAGCAGCGCACTTTCAGCAAAACATACGCCGGCCCGACCGTTCTCTCAGCAGCTACGTAGCTGGAATGTGGTTTTGTGATCTTGCGAGAGGGCTTTCATGGAAGCCGTCCTTCGACCTTGGTACACATAGACCAGCGAAAGACAAAGGCTGGCCCCCGCCCCTCAGGAATTCCACGACATTCAATGCTATACCGGAAACACAACCCGAGCCCCTATCCGTGTGGCTTCCGTCCTGGTCATGGATATCAGTTGATGGTCGTGTGCGGTACCCTTACGCCAAAAATTCCTCCCAAAAGCCGACTGTGATCGGAATGGGCGGTATGGAATATCTCAATCCGAATGCTAAGAATTTCGACAACGTGTCGGTTCCTGAAACGCCTCTCGAACCATTCTTCGGCCGCATCTCTCTCAAGACTGACTTCGAGTTTGGGGAGCTCGAAGGGGGGATTATTGGCCTCACAAACTACACTGTTGAGACCACGATATCCGAAAAACATCTCATCAAAGATTCGATTACTGTGACTGGAATTCCCAAGTGCTATTCAATGTTCAAGCAAAGCACCAATCCGTTCAAAATCAACAGGCGGTCAGAGCCATCGGCCGGCGGCGTCATCATCATGGATACGAGCCCAACTCAGCTTCCAAAGACAAAATTATATTGCCTGAGACTCGGCAACTCCAAGAGTCTGTTCAACAACGAAAACTTGGTCGAGATTGGTCTAGTTTTATTGGAGACGCCTTACAAGTCCATGGCTGGACTTAGCTCACGATGGCATTCGAGGTCTGGTCCGGTGGTACAAAGAGTTGGCTTTTTCGAGATTGGCATGTGGGACAAGCAATGGGTCGAGAAAGCTCGACAAAGAACCTTCTATATCATATAGGTTCAATGTGGTTTTTCTTGTGTCGTCAATGGCGGTGATGTGTACTGTTTCTTACTATCAGAAGGTCACACGCTCGATAAAAATCTCGAAAGTGCTTTCAGTCATGAACGAATTTTAATAGCTTCATATATCGCACATCCAGCTTAGTGCCCAACCATAGCCTGCTGGGTTGGGTTGTATCTGTTCCCATGCGGCTTGGCCGCATCGATAATCTTCCGCATCTCCACCCTCTCCTCGTCGGAGAAAACAACGTCTCTTGATACCCAGTTCTCTTCTAATCTCTTGGCCTTTGTTGTGCCAGGAATAGGAATCATTCCCTGAGCGGCAACCCAGGCAAGGGCAATCTGAGGCAGCGTGACTCCCTTGCGCACAGCAAGCTTCTTGATCTCATCAACAATAGCCTTGTTCTTGTAGAAGTTCTCGCCTTGGAACTTGGGACCTTTGCATCGAGTTGTCAGCGTTTGTTAGACAGAGTTTCTGGTTTCCAGTTGTAACTCACTTCCACGACGGAAATCGTTGGGTGCAAAGTCGTCTGGGCTCTTGTACTGGAAGTCATCAACGAGCCATCCGTGACCCAGGGGGCTGTAAGCCACGTATGCAACTCCGAGCTCCTTTGCAGCTTCAATCAAACCGTCAGTCTCGTGGATGGTCTCGAAAGCTGAGTACTCGGCTTGAAGCGCATCGATCTTGGCAACTACGGATTGTTAGTGGGGGGTCTGAATACTTCTAAGGGTGGGACTTACTTGAGTTGGCCTTGCGAAGGGTGGCCGCTGAGCACTCAGAAAGACCGATGTACTTCGTCTTGCCCGCCTTGCGGATCTCATCGAGCGCTGTGACGGACTCCTCGAGGGGCGTGTCTAAGTAAGGTACCTGTCAGTGAACGTTTCCTCTCATCTTCCTCCATGGCTTGGAAGCTTACTGGGATCAATGCGATGAAGGTAGTAGAGGTCAGGAGTGAAACCAAGTCTCTCGATAGTGCCCTCGATGTACTGCTTGATGTGAGAAGCAGAGTTGGTGATACCGCCGGAGCCAAAAACGTCAAATCCACACTTGGAAGCGACTGGAAGAGGAAAGTCAGTTGTAGTCAATGAAGTGAGAATACTTCGAAAGCACTGACTGAACACCTTGTCCCGCACGTTGTGCTTTCTGATGAAGTCGCCGAGAAGCTTCTCGTTAACACCAGCCTGGTAAACAACCTAGTCACAAAGAGGTTAGTGCCTCGTGGAAAGCATATGTGTATATGGAGATCATGCGTAATGGTGTTGAGGGGCCTGCGTGAGAGCCATTGACTTACTGCTGTATCCCAGAATGTGCATCCGAGCTCAATTGCCTTAAGTAGAACGGGTTCAGCTTCTTCCAAGCTCAGATTGCTTCCCAGGCCGAAACTCAGGCCCATGGCGCCGAAGCCTGGCGAGTTGACTTGGATGTCCTGGAATTGGAAAGTCTTGGCCATTTTGATCGATTTTGGTTGTGGTCGTATTAGTAGCTTTGCTTTTGACGTGATTTCATAAAGATAAATGATCTGCTACTTCAATAACAGAACAAGATCTTGGCTTCGAGGTCATTTAAGATGCGTCAGTGAGTCCATTCCCAGTGACGTAACTGCAGCGAAAACGACATAGCTACGGAGTTACGGCGATAACATGCGACTGGCTGACAACTAGAACGTGGATCCAATGATCTTCGTCCCACAATATGGCGCCACGAAACTTTGCCAAACACTTCAAAACTGTGCCCGAGCCAATGAACAACTTTTACTTACACGGAAATAATTTATTCTTCTCCGAAGTCCTGGATTTAAGGATGGTAGGTAAGCTGAGGTAAACTCTCCAAAGTCTTTGTATAAGTCGCATTCGGTCTGAAAGCTTGGTCAGTGCATGAGTCGCATAACAATTCTGCTGACATCCCGTCGCTTCGGAGACGCTAAGTCAGAGAAGACCACTTTCGCCGGAATATTACCTGCTGAAGCATCGGCAAAGCGGCATCCTAGCAACAGAGCAAATATTTTTACTCAAGAACAGCCTGGACTGCCCCATGGTCGATGAATGTCTTTCAGTAGTCCGGCATATTATCTGTCTCGAGGTTCCAACGTAGTTGGCCCTCGGCTTCATACTGATCTGAAGAGCGATTATATATGCCATCTAATTCCTGTCCGCAGCAGCTTTACTGAAAACCGGATTCTAGATATATCCGTACACAACCATTGCCGAACCCACTCGGCCGAATCATGCCTGCAAGGGGAAGGAGCTTGTATTCACGGTTTGACGTGATCGATGAACAAGCAGCTAATTGATGTCACTATTCCGCAGTGGGCCTTGGCCATCCACTTTACAAATTAACTACCTCCTTTTCGCGCTGACAGCTTCGGTATTAGTAATGCTATCTCCAACTTCATAAAGCTCAAGAATCTTTGAAATATAGTACTCCGCCACACTGGATATTCTAATCATTCTTCTTATAATCTCGCTCGTTTCGCTACCCTAGGTACTCTCGCCTTATCCTTAATTGACCAACATAATGGCATTGCGACTGGTCGGTTTCCAGTTGTTGGGCCTGGCAGCTCTCCTGCTCTCACCAGCCTCATCGGCCCCTACTACTGGTTGCGATTGGCGGAACGCAAGTGAGGTCACGTCATTGCAGTCCGTCCCCGGAGCACGATCACTCGAGAACATTGCGGTTCGGGAGAATGGAAACCTCTTAGTCACCTCCACGGCCTCTCCGACCCTTTTCGACCTGTCACCTGAAGCCAAACATGCGCCGATTCCTGTTGTTACCATCGACGGCGTTAACAGTCTCCTCGGAATCACCGAACTCGGCGAAAAGGATGTTTTCTACGTCCTCGGTTCGAATCTGACCTCAACCGAAAACTCGAACGGCTTGTGGAAAGTCGACCTCCGTAAATTCCGCACCTCGCGCAACGGGACTGTGCTCCAGCCAGCTGTGCTTTCTCTCATCACGCTTGTCCCATCCGCTCTTCAACTCAACGGCATGGCACGTTTGGCCAAGAATGATACTCAGAACCTGCTCATATCCGACTCTGGCCGTGGAACCGTCCTTCGACTCAACGTAAACACCAAGCTCGTTGAGACTGTTCTTGCTGAGCCTGAGATGGCTCCAGTATCTTCGAATTCCAGCATTGGCGTCGCCGTCAACGGGATTCGCATCCGGGGCAACAAACTTTATTTCGTGAGCTTGGACCAAGGCCTATTCGGCAGAGTCCCCATCTCTCTCACAACCGGAACAGCCACTGGCCCCGCGGAGACTCTGGCTACCAACATCACCTTTGGTGACGACTTCGCTTTGTCGAAAGACGGTAAGACTGCCTATGTTGCCACCAACGGTCCTCTGGAGGTTCTCGGAATCGATTTGGTACACGGAGGAAAGACCGTCGTTGCATCCTCGCCCCTTCTCGGAGCTGCATCTTCGGTAGCTCTGGACTTGCACCACCCTCGCAAGGTTTTGTACGTGACGGGCGCTGTGTCATCTGGCAATAGCACTGTTGGGCATGTGTCTCGCGTTACTTTGAGGTGCTAGGCCGAGGAATTAGGAGAACCACAGAGTACTTCCCTCTCGTCTCTTATAGCGGGCGCGATGCTATCGTGAATAATTTGTATGCTAGGAGGCCTCTCTAATAGAATCATAGGTTCATGGCACAACCTAATGAAGATGGAATTGAAGTAACAAAACAAATGGGGTATTATTGATCAAAACTCGCTATCTAAATGCTCTTCTTCCGCTCTTCCCACCAACTATGCAACGGAGGAGCTCCCGAACATATGATGTTTATCGGCGTCTCCAACAGAAACCGATCGATGGCTTCTGGTGGACCAACGTCGAGATTGTCGAGTCGAAAGAGAGTCTGACCGTTTTCGCGTAGCATGGAGGAAAAGTTTGGTACTATTTCTGGGACTGCCAACAACTTGTAGCCCCTCTCTAGGAGGCCAGTTCCTGTCATGGCGTCGATCACAGCTTTTGCTGGTTCAACTTTGAAACGATCAGTCCTCAGTCATAGATAATAGCTGGCTGGAGTATGGTTGAAATGCATGACTTACCCATACCGTATTTCTGCATCTCTCGTTCAGTCTCGATGATCCGGTATTTGGTGAATAGGGGGTCCGTCGTCTCCAGCTTTCGTGCTTGGATATGCATGTTGAGAAGGTTCACCTCGAACGGTCCACCATGCGTGACCCACGCAGTCCAAAAGTCTTGTTTTTGAACCTTTTCAACATACTGAACCAGATCCTTGATCATGTTCTTCTCGAAAATCCATTCCACACTCTCCAGGTTCCAAAAGGCGGGTCCGAATGAGTCCATCGATCGATCTAGAACGTTTGCCGCGGCGCCGATGAGTCTCCGCATGAAATCGTCATTGGTCATTCTCGACCTCCAAATCGTAGGGTCCTTGACGTAAGCATCAAAGGTTTGGCGCATGCTGAACGGCTGCACGGCGATAGCCTCGGAGTCCAGCCAGAGCGCGTAGTCGTAATCGAGTTCCAGTGCTGCTGACATCTTCTTGATTGTCTGGTATTGGTATTTTCCACGTTCTTTTAGAAGCGCCGACGTATCGTTGCCCGTGATTTTCCCGATCGTCATAGAGTGAAAGACGGGGGGTAGGATGTCGAACATGTTGATGATGTTGATTTTCGGTTTCGGCCCGTTGATGTTCATCGCTGGCGTCGGGAAAATGCTGTAGGTTGGCCCACAGGGCTTCAACTTTTTCATCGCATCTTGGAACATTACGACCTCATTTGAATCTGACACGATGACGTGGAAATCGATTTTTGACTGATCTGTACAAAGGCACATATAAGACTGCAGGAACTCCATCGCAAGAGGCATGTGTCCACTCTACGCTCGATTAGCAATTATTATCTCTTCACCCCCAATGACCGGAACTCACAAATGTTGGGAGAATGACGGCGTACTTCATCTCCTGTAGCCTATGTGATTCTGATGTTTCGTTCTTTTTCGATCCAAGATAATACATCTCATCCTCTTCGTTAATTGCGCCATCTTGATCATACGGATTTGCATGACTTGTTTGCGTTCCAGTCCTTTCTCCAGATAAGTCATAAGAGTGAATATCGAAATGTGGCCACAGAGTATGGCTGAAGAACACCACCAACACCACAATACCACTCAGACAGCTCAAGTACAACCACCGAGCCTCTCTGGCCGACGGAGGAAAAGGTTTCGTCAATATCATGGTGTGCCGTCGTCCATTATCCTCCCACAAAAGGTTGCATCCCAAGGAAGTTATTCCACCAAAGTCAACTGCTCGCCGGTGGTTGGTATGGCGCTCACTTCCCCTTTATACCATAGCCACCAACATGTCTGTTCTACGCCGACCGGGCCCGTAGGTTTTCTGCAGCATGGTCCGCCTATCAACTTACAAATGCTTGTCCGATTTCTAGTTCAGGATAGATAGACTATGTCGGAGGGGCTATGCCTTATCGTCAGTTCATCATAGATGCCGATAGACATTGACTGTTTCGAAAATGTGAGTTGCTGGGGTTCAACTCATGATATTAACTTTACCGCTGAAACGCTCGCCCTCCGTAGAAGCCGTTTGGATGGGTCTATGCTAGCCGTGATTGCGTCTCCCCCACAGGCGAAATATCCGTCCCTATTGCCACTTGTCATGAGCTGGACCATCGGAACTATGTACAACTGAAAATGACAGTCCGTGGTGATGGAACTCAGGGTCCCCCCATGTTGTGTCGCATCCCTTTGCCTTACCGGGTTGATTTTAGTCGATTCTTGCGGGGCTGCTAAGCTTCAGAACGCCCCATCCGCGCGGCTACCCCGTCGCTCAAGCATCCACTTGCCCTCCCGCCGGAAAGCTTGTCTGATACTTGGTCGCCGCAAACAAGCGGAGGCATGCTAGTGACGCTCGGTTTCCCAGACTGGCGGGCTAGTGTGGATGGAACGGAGGATTGATGAAACCCATCATCGGTGAGGTGTCTGCTATCATCTTGTAAGTCATCTGAACAGTTCCATGTTGGCAGCGAGATCACTACGACGCAGCTTTGGTTGTGTGGTCGTATCAGTGGAGATGAGAATTGTTTGGTGACATGATGCAGAAAGGTTTACGCGGAAAATTTGATGACGTGAGAAACGAGAGCGAAGGTTTGCTCATCTTCAATCTGTTACTTATGAAATGCCGACAGCGGCCATTCAATTTCCCTGGATTTGAGTTTCTGCTCGCCGTTCGGTTTGCGCCGGTGACCCTTGACGCCCTGTACCTAGTGGTCCACTCACATTCGACTGACAAGTGGGCATAACAAAGTCTGAAGAAATTAACTCCAGAGTTTGTGTGACACTAAGAATAATACAGCAACTGGAAGAGAGCAGCGTCGTAATCCACTGTAAACTGCGTACAGCTCGTATCGTCAATTGAAGACAGCACACTTAACTACATGATCCGATAGGATTTCATAACTCTTCCCCACCTCCGTCACCGACTCGCTCGGAGTTTTCCTTTACTTGGAGATAGCGCTCCTTTACTGACACGCTCTCGTACGCATCATGGCCCCCAGCCTTCTGATACCAGTAAGCAACCACGGCGTATAGACATTTGTTGCCCGAGCCCCAGTCATTGGGCTTATACTTCTCAATGTAGGCCTCGAAGCTTTTGTGAAAAGGCACGTCATCGCACACGTGAAAGCGACAGACTGATGTATGCCCGTTAGCATCAAGCTCAATGTAAGGTTGGCAGGCATAAGCGCTGTCAAAAGTCGGAAATGGCGGTTCGGCCGCCCACGCGTAGCCCACATAATCTTCTGAACCGGTGCCAAAGGTTGACGGGAACTTTTCGCCGTCAACGAAGAACTTCTCGTCTCCCTCGCCCCACCACCAGTCGATAGACTTGTCGCCGCCGACGCCGTACCACCAGTCCTTTGATGGGACCTTGGGATCTTTCCAGCGGTTCCACACATGCATCTGCACGCCGCAGAATCTTCCAGGGCCGTTATCTAACATTAATAAAGGCCAGTCGATTTCGCGGCCTTCTTTTTTCGGCTTCTCGAGAAAGGCATCTCGGTGCCACTTGGCGTGGAACCGAAGCATGTGCTTCGCAGACTTTTCCAGTGGGCGGTGGCAGATGGTGAAGAATAGCTTCTGCTCCTTCTTGCCATCATTGACCAGCTTGATCTCAGCGCGATCGGAGAATGGCATGAACCAGTGACTGTAGAAACCACCCCCGTCTGTTGAGCCCTGAGGCAAGGAGCGGTAGGTCTGGATGCCCGGAACGCTACCAAAGAAGTCACCCAGTGGTGCCCAGACACTTGGAGACTTGTCATGATCCCAAGTGATCTGGATAGCGAGCTCCCGGAGAATCTGAGCGACGTGATGAGAGTCCTGGACAAGGTCCAACGGCACCACGCGCATGCCAGTGATTGCTCGGTTGCCCGTCAACTCCCGAACAGTATGGCTCTTACCCGGTTTGATGGTGACAGTTAATGTTTCCATCGTGTCGCCCTTTGACCGAGGCAGTGCGGACCAACCACGTTGACTCAGTTGGCGGTCAGCTGCGGCCAATGCTAGACAAGCCTCCCGATCAAAGTTGCCGTCAAAGTGCGGAAGGGTAGTGTGTTTGGGGAATGAGGTGTAAGTGAAATGATAATACGCTCCCCAGCCAGGTCCGAGGCGGATCTTGGCATACTTGTTGTACGGAATGGGAATGAAGCAGTTACGTCCTCTTGACAGAGTGGGCGTTATCGAGGGGAAGTTGTGTGGCATCCCTTGAAACCGATCGAAAAGATCCCGGAAGGGCATGTCCACAACAGGCTTGTCATCGTGCTCGTCGTCAATGAAGATCTGGATACGGCCGACATCCGGCATCGCGGACCAGGTCCGCCAGATGACTCCTGGACCCTGCTGCTCAAAGGCGACTACCCACTCGCCTTCTTCGCGAATGATGCCTCTCCCATCGTCGTTGGCGTCCCAGTCAATGTACTTGTCTTCCTTTGGGTCATAGCGTGAGGCCCGGTCATAGCTCGACATACACCCGCCGCGCTCTCCGGGCAATGGGGATTCAGCAAGACGTTCAAGGTCGTAGAGCCGTCGCACGAGGTCGGGATATGTCAAATGCATTGTTGGAAGCGAATTTTTTTTTTTTTTTGGAGGAGACGATCAAGTCCTGGGATTCGGGGATTTGAAATTTCATTTCCCCGATTCGAGACGCCGCTGCGATTCCTCGACGTCTTATAAATGTTGGGGTAAAACTGCAAGGCCAGCTCTGCATGACTAGCTTAGAGTTTGTAGCAGGTCAGGATCGGCCCCTTCGTTCTGATTAGACTCGTTCTTTGGTGTTTATCATGAAACATGTCGGTGTTTTCCAGCGGCCTCGCTTCTCGTTTCCAAGCGTCATTCGATCGTGTACCACATGTAGTAATCGGCAAGGCAGTTCCTCACGTGCATTTTGCATTCTACGTCCGATTTCTGACGATCAATTCCAGGCTGGTTGTTCTCAAGGATTTGCATGGAAGCGCTGCTTCTGTGGGACGTTCAAATGCGAGGTTGGCAGCTTTCGTGATAGGGAGAGAAATCGCGGTACTTGTTGCGTCCTTGCTTCTGAAGTGACGCAATGATTGCAAATTTCTCTATTATCGTTTCTAAATCTTAAGCCTTGCTTCTTGCGGTGCCTAATTTCGGGGCTGCTGTCTTATTCGAAAGTCCTCTGCTTCCACTACAACGTCGCCCATCCATGATGTGCACGAGACATCGTTCGCCCAGACCTTCTGATCGATAACATAGCAGTCGAGAGCCCTTTAGCCTTATGAAATCAACAACTCGATACCAAGTTCCTGCTGAAGGCGCCTTTTGGCACACTCGAGAAGCTGGAGACCATCATAAGCTAAACACTCGCGGCGGTAGGAAAGAGCGAGCATGCTAATGCCAATAAGCCGAACCTTCCGCCATTCTTTCCGACAACACTCCCCATCATATTCATGGTGTACCGAAGCTCTTCCATACTCTTTTGCCAATTCCAATAGTACAGGGCACGTGCATTTGGGGCTCCACCGGTTACACGCGAGGTTATTCGCGAGGTGAACCCCATGGTCTCGACAGTCGCCGCAAGATTCGGAAAACCGTCGTAACTCGGAAGTTCTTTGTATTTGAGTGCTCCAAAAAGATCATGAATCAGATTCACCTTGAGATATTTCACCCGCCGAAACTGGCGTATAGGATAATAATAACAATGTGCAAGCCCTTCGACGAACCAGCGACATGCATGTCTCAACGGTTTCGGCAAGAGGGTTACATCGCAGACTTGTCGATGACGAGCACTTTGAGCGAAGGCATACGTTCAAAATTTCGTTTTCGAGTAACTCGCAATGGTCAAAGTGCGCCTCGACAAGTGAGAGGAGATAAGGGAAACTGTCTCCCTCGAGTCTGAGACAATCTCTCAGTGCCAAGTGCTTCAATGGAGGCAGAGACGACAGCGTTGGGATCCAAGCCGGTATAATGTATGATTTATAGCAGGAGATATTGAGGCTCTTCAAGTCTTGTAGCTTCAACGAGATTGCCTTGGCAAAGTCGCTGAAGGTGACATCTTCATATGCAAATAGACCTTTTCTTCAACATGCGATCCCATTCAAGTCCATCATTGGGGCTCTTAAGCATTTTTAGGTGTTGCATTTCGTTTTGGTATGCTAGGTTGATGCATTCCAGAGTATCCCCAAAGCCAAGGAAGCCTCGCCCAGAAATAGGGTTCCTGTAGAGAACCTCGTAACAAGCTCCTAACAGCCGCCGATTCCCGGCTTTCGCTAGACTGACGAGGCCCGCTTCATTGTCCGGTATATATGGCATTTCTTCGTGTTCGATAGGGTAGCGGTTCCCGAGCTGGTGCGAAATTCTCCAGTATCGATCTAGTTGTTGGGTCGAAGTCTCATATGTACACTCGGTCTTGTAACTAGGGAAAAGGCCGTCCTCGACAAGCTTCTCTGCAACGATGAGCAGCAGCTCATATGGCAGAAAATTCAATGTGACCGGAACCATCTTATCTGACAAGGTATTCTGGCTCTGCGGATGTGAATGAAAAGATTGCATTTCACTGATGTGTCTTGGGATCCGTGTGTTGGTTCTAGTGCAAATGGTTGGCTTTATGTCGACCTTCAATAGGATATGTACGTCCTTATATCGGAAAAGATGAGTACAATTAATAATCATGCTCTGACTTAACCCTCAAGGTAGGCGGTGCTGAGCTCTTTCCGACACATACATAGTTGTGGAGGTTGCCTACGGCGGCCCTGTACCCTGAGTAGGAACTCCGTTGATTTCTAGATACCAGGGTTCAGTGCTTCGACTACTTATTACTGATACCCTTTGATCGCAGTTGACCTCTATTGCAGTTGGCTGGGGCATCGTCTTTGCCGAGACTAGATGGTAACCTTGAAGGCTTAGAACGCGTCCCCTTGGGATGCCATCTCCACCGTTATTCTCAATCGCAAGCAAGCCCACTAATCACTCATGTCTCGTGTGCATAGATTTGGTGAATTATGCTATTCGGATGTCATCATTGATACAGGTATCTATTGTCGAACTAAATACAGGGTCTATGGCAGCCAGTACATATCCTCATCGGGGCGTTCTCTCGAATCCTTTAACCAGACAAACCCTGCAACAAGACGACGTCAAGTTCCTCTTTGAAAATCCCGACATAATCCAGTGCAAGCTTGCGCAAGAAGTCTCTCTCTTCGTCCGTTCTATACGTGTCATCATTATCATCAATGACCCGAATGTCAAGAACTCTGACCTGCCTATACACATCCCGACATTGTCTGAACAGGAACTTGAGCAGCATCTCCATCTCTTCCGAAATCGTCTTCTCCGAGCTTAGTGAAGACGAAGAATAATATGGCGAAGACTCCGGCGAAGAAGATTCATCAAGTCCGTTCCATCTCCCATCTTTCGTCAGCAGCTGAGGCACATGTTCAAGGTCAAAGATGCCATCGAGAAGCTCAATCGTCTCAACAGTCTTTCCAGCCGCGCAGCCGTCCGTTTCGCCGCACATGAGCTCGAGCAGACTCGTCACCTTGAGGTGCTTTACCGCCCTGAGCCCCCGCGCCTGTAGAGGGTACGCCAATATTGAGAGATCCCTCGTCGGCCAGGGCGACGAGGCTCCCATATCGTACCAAGTAAACGCCTCCAACGTGTCTGCAAACGGCGCAAAGGCGTGAGCGTCGTTCGGGAGCCCCGTTTTCCATCTCGCTCCGATGGTAAGGGTACGCAGCGCCGGGAAGCATAGAAAGAAGTCCTTTTGTGTACAGAAGCTGCCTGTGGAAAAATCGCAGCCGTAAAGACACAGATCCGTGACCCGCGGCAAGGCGGGTATACTGGCCTCCATGAAGTCGTAGACCACACAGCTCAGGCATCTCAACACGAGACGCTCGAGACCCGGAAGCTTGGGGATGGCACTGAACCAGTGTGCTAGGGACCGTTGATATCGCCGCCTACAGCCTCCTACGTCCCCGGAGAGCTCTAGAGTCCTCAGTCGGGTCAATCCGGAGGGATCAAAGAGTACTGGTGGCACACTTAGCCTCATATCGTAGTCGTGATCATAGCCTATACGCAGTTGCATAACCCTTTTCTGGAGCTCGGCTCCTGATGACGTCAGTGTGGTTTGTAGCTTGCGTGAGTTTCTAAACCCCTTGCCATCCGTGACGATGATACGTCTGTAGAGAAGCTCAGCACAGATATCGTAAAATCGGCCGTTGACCCGAGCCAGGCTGAGTATATCCTCTCTACTCCGTGGGCCCTCGGTATTGAGATGCTCTTCGAGGGCTACGGATCTCCGGTAATGTCCCATGTAGCGCGAGGACGCTTGTCTATATTCTAGCACTTTGACATCGTCGCCTGGAAAGGGGGGGAGTTCGTCAACAAGGTGGCCAAAGATAAGAAATAGAGTCTCGGTAGGAAGCCGGTTGATAGACATCGTTGTCAATGACGACTAGTTGCTATTAACCTCTTGTTTCGTGTCTGGCGCCAAAACTTCTCGTGAGTGTCGAATCTGCTTCAGCTTGCCGTTGGATAGGTTAGCATGTAAACCGATATATCTAAAGGCTTGGAGTAAGATATCAGTTGGAATCACTCGCGCGGGAACCGCCCTGAAGTACTATCAACTAAGTGTTTCTCCGATAGCAGCTCGTTGGCTTTAGGGGGGAAGAAAATGCTTTCGAGCTGCCATCCAGGTGAAGAGAAGACAGGTAGGTACCCTGAGAGCAAGAGATGCAGAGATTGAACCCTCGCTGGTCGTCGAAAAGCTTATCCTGACCATCGTTCGGAGATACACTTGGGCACAAACAGTAGCAAAAGTCTTGAATAGCGTCTGCAGCCCTTCAGGCGAATCAACACATGGAATTTAGTTATCCAATGAGCCAGACCCTCAATAAACCCCCGGAATAATAGTCCACTTCTTCCCAACCTTTTCCTCCCCAAACTGCCCAACATACCACCGCCTCCCGCTCCTCGCCCTCGGAAACATGACAAAGATCTCATTCAAAAAGAACGCCCTTCCGGGTACGCTCCACCCGCTCGCCATCCAGAATCCAAACCACTCCACCCACTCGCAAAAGTAATGCGGGTACAGCATATACCGAAACAGCATCGTGTCAGGCAGCCGATAATGCTTATCCACGCCCCTTGCCATATCCATATTACCCTCCAGCTTCTGTTGCTTCGCAATCTTGGCCTGGCGCCGCTGCTCCGTCCTGCGGATCTCGCGCAGCTCCTCGTCGTGGAAGTAGTTCAGCGTCAAGCCGACGTAGAAGACGGCAATACCCGCGGCAAACTGCGCGATGCCGCCGCGGCCGAGGGCAGAGTCCCATGCTGAGGCTGTGGTAGGGCCGTAGGCGGCGAGGTAGCTTCCCAGGCATGTCGCATTCATGAGTTGGAAGAGGACGGCCGAAGAGGCAACGACGACGTGGATTGGGGACATTGAGGGTTGGAGAATCGGAAATAGGACGGCACGGTAGGCGTAGTGGATGGTCTGTAGTGGCGCCCAATTATCAGTCGACGTAGATCTAGTAGTGGGCAATCAGGGCGAGGGAGGGGGGAGCATACGAATAACCCAGCGAGCACCTTGTTCTGCCACGGCAGATCGTCAATCCCGACCTGTCGCGGCAGGGTGTTCATGATGTACAACAACGTCGTGACGCCCGGAATCTCCATCAGGAACCACGCCAGGCGGCCGGGGATGTTGAGGCGGCTCGTGACCGAGGTCTTGCCCATGCCGTACCAATTGATGACATACTGCAGAGAGCCGAACTATACACACATCGAAAAGTCAGCAAAGGTTAGCCAGGATTGTTTTGACCAAATGGCTCAAGGGAGTTGTTGTTGCATACCACAGGCCAGGAAAGCTGCCACACAGTAGTGATGGTCTGCCAGTTCTCCCGCGTCGGCGGGAGCCACCCCTCAATCAGGGGCATTTTCGGTTCCTTCTCGACTGGTAAAGGACGATCCAATTGCAGAGAAATAGAGGAAATAGAGTAGCAGAGAGTAGATTGAGTCAAGGAAATACAGAAGAACAAGGTATTGTAGCGTGGTGCGCTTTCCCTCCTTCCCAAGCTTTCCACCGTTGATTGTAGGTATGTGGAAAATGCGACACAAAATCAATGACATCAAGCAGCTTGGGTGGAATTGGCGGCGGGAGCTCCGGGTCTTGGGCCTGCGACGCGTTGAAGCCACGGCTTGCCAGACCGCTTTCCCCATTTGCCTTAGCAATTGGTGGGGTTGCAAGAGCTGCTCTGCAAATCGGGGAGGTTCCTGAGCATCCTGTACAGCTACCCCTTGCAGCCTCCACCACAGCTTCAGGAACATGTCAAAAACTACGGAGTAGGAGTCCCTTAGTTATTTGTTGACTTATTTCACAAGAATATTTAGAGATCCCAACATAAGCTGTAGGGCCATGATTCTTCTTCCATTCATCAGCTATCGATCCTATAAAGCCACTATTTCCAACGCCGCCCGCTGAGAGGAAATGTTTGTACAGCAAAAAGCTTTGTCAACTCTGCTTGTCAGAGTCGAAGTCTGTCCATGCTCTGCGCAAGAATTCAAATGACACGAAAACGCCGCAATCATAAAAAGTACCGGAGCTTCTTCTGCTCACATTACGATGCAATCCCTTTCCCTCCCACCTTGCGAACTTCCTACAACGCCGCCGGGTCCCAGCACGCGCCCGCGACCGCCGCCCATACCTGGCCGCGAGGGCGACAGCGGGAATGACGGTCCAGCACCCCCATTGCCTTGTCTATTGACAGGACTGCTCGCATGATGGTGAGGGTGCCCAGGAGGTGGTTCATACTTGGCAGCCGCCTGCGCCTGCTCGTACGTCGGCGGGGCATCATCCATGCCTTCGTCAGCCGGCCGATTCACGCCTTGTCGACGAGCAGGAACCGTCGGCGGAACCAGTGGTCGCACCAGCTGCGGCGGTTGCCCAGGCTGCCGACCCGACGTGGGCGGTACTGCAGCACTGCTCACGTTGGTGCTAGAGTTCCGACGGCTACCGCGAGAAGCAGTCGAGTTGCCATTGCTGTTGCTGCGTGCACCGGTGCCGGTTCGGGCAGCCTGCCTGTCGGCTGCACGTCTAGTCGTGGGCCCTTGTTGCAATCTGGCCTGCTGCTCAATATACTGCTCGCTAAGCTGACTCTCGCGCCGGCGAGCCGACTGCTCTGCCCGATGGCGTTGTTCTTCCTCTTCCTGCAACTGGAGCGCGAGGGCAAGATCTCGATCCTCCTGCTCATGATTGGGCGACAGGGGCATCTCGTCACCTTGCGCCGGAGCCTCGAGATGCTTGTTGCGGCCGCGGCCGGGCACAGTAGTCCAGCCCCCTTCATTGGCACTACTCGTGTCGATTCTCGGTCGGTTATGGGCATTGTTCCTCGAAGTAGGTTGTCCCCTGGAGTTCCCTTGCGGTTGCTCCCCGCCCACGATCCTGAAATCGCCAGAATAGTATTCCGTGCGTTCGCCATTCACGTCGGCTAGGGATTCCCAAACAATTTCGTCGTGTGTGGCGTAGCCTGCGTCGGTGACGAGGACCAGGAGTTGCTGTGTAGCAGGGTGCCTGTACAGTGTTGAAAAGTGATCGTTTCTAAACAGAATGGCAAAAGAGCCGGGCTTCATGGCCTTTGTGATGACCTCGAGTCCAGATGGCGTTAACTGTGTGGCTGAAGTCTCCAGAAACGCCTTGATCGACTGTATGTCTGAGTATACCAGCTCCTCCTCTTCCGTCAGTTCCCCCAACCTTTCCTGCAGCTCCTCGTCTCGGAACAGGAGCGTCTGCACGTCTTCAAAAGAGGCGGCCTGGCGCTCAAAAGCAGGGTAAGCCGGATCATTCTTAGTGGGCAGCCACCCGTGGATAAGCGGAATAGCAAAAGCAGCATAGAGCGCCATCTCTCTAGTGTCTTCGAAGGTTCCAGGAATCAAGTCGTCGCGTTCGGTCGGGTGTAAATGAGTCAAGGAAGTGCGCTTAAAGGCCTTGATGATTTCAGGCGTGGGAACGAAACGTGGATTCACGTTCATTCCTGTGTGAAGACCCTTCAAAAAGGCATACAACTGAGATACATCAGGCAAAGCTTCTTGTGTTCGCCTCATCAGCTCATCGACGACCGCGTCCAGTAAGTACCCGAGACTGATTTGCTCTCGAGAGCGCAGGACTTCTATCAAGGCCGTTTCTGATAGAGACGATGGAGTTGTAAGTGTAAGCGCGTTGACCAAGGCAAGAAGAGGGCAAGGGCCATTAGCATTCTGTACGAGGATGGGCGAAACTCGCGGGTTCTGATCCGCGCTGTGATCGTGCCAACGGACGTTCTTGATCTGGTATGTTTCGGCCTTGCCGTCTACAGGGCGTGGGGGTTGGCGCGGAGGTTGCTCTTCGTCGTCGTTCCGCGGAGGCAATGCTGGCGCTACCTTGTCGTCGGAGACCTGATCGGGCCTGTCGTGCGTTTGATTCGGCATTTGCGATCTGCCCGGCGGAGGGCCAGCGGGCGGCTCGACGTCGATGAGATTCCAATCATCCATAGGCCCGTCTTCGACTGTAGGAGGAGGGATAACGGAAGCGGGGGCGGGGGCCTTTCCCTTGCCCTTGTTCTGTCCGCCTTCGTCGTCCCAGGCATTCTGGTCTGCAACTGCATCGTTGGGAATGGAGGCTACAGGTAATTCCAGTGGTTTCTTGCTCTGATTCTCCGGCAAGTCGTCCCATGCCGGTGAGGTAGGTTCTGAGGGGAGCGATAGCAGTGCTGGAGAGGTCGAAATAGCGGGCAATTTTGGCTCCTGCGTTGCAGCCCATGCATCGCGCTCAGACTCTCCGCTATTTTGAGTACGCAAAGACTGCTGGGCGCTGGCGGCGGCAGCTCTCTGAGCATGCTGGTCGAGGGCAGGTTGCCATGGATTATTACTGATCTCGCCGGTGCTCATCTGCGAGAGCGGCTGCGCCGGAGGCATCGTCGGGGTCCCGTTGGTGGGCGGTGATGTTGGATTTGAGTCGTCGCGGACTTCCTTGCGCTTGAACGGGTTTGTGTCGGACCGTGAAGGTGGCGCTCCTGGCCGTAATACCAATGGGATCTCGTTGGACTCGCTTCTTGTCTCGCTGGCGATTTGAGGTTGGTGGCCGTCAACGTCATTCCATACTCCGTTGGTCATCTCGGGGGCCTGTGCCGTGACCCCGCCGGGCTTCAGAGATTCGGGAACGTCTTGGGGTATTGATTGTTGGTTCAGAGCTGCAGCGCCCCTTTGCTGAGGAGCATCGTCCCAAACACTGTCTACGTCGGAGGGAGAATCGGTTGCGCTCCAAAGCTCTTTCCGCATGTCTTCAACCCGCGGGACAGCAGCGTTGGTGTCGAGGGAGGTCTCGTTGGGGACGGGCTTGCGGGTAACCATGTCGACGAGGGTCCCGAGGTCTCGGACTTGGGTGGTTGTAACGGAATGAATTCGTGA